ATTTACTTAAAAGACTATAATAGGTTATCTATCTTTCTATTAGTATATCCCTTTTAATATACTTATTTTATATAGGGAGTTAGTATTATTAAGGGGCCTGCTTATCTACGTATTTGCAGGTTAGTAATTAGGGATAATCTTTTATATTAAATAGCAGTAGCTAGTATTAATAATATAACCTCTAGGTTAGCTATTTTAAAGAGCCTATATCCTTTTTATTATAGTTTATACAGTTCTTTCTTACTAAGTCTTCTAGTTATGCCCTAAGGGGTTTTATAGGGCTTTACTAAGTAGTCTTTAAAGTCTACCCTATATAGTCCCTAGTAGTTAGTATATTAGATAGTATTAGGGTATTAGTATACTTTATTATTATATTCTATTTATTTATAATTCTTATACCTAAAGGTCTTAGTATAGTTAAATAAAAAGTAATACTTCTAGCAGTTATTATACTATTAGGGTTAGGTATTTTTAGTTAAGGCTTTTAAAAGTTGGCTAGTACTAAAGAGCATAAAGCAGGTTTATAGTTTCTAGGTAAAGGAGGTAATAATGCCTGCTTTTTTAGTAATTTTATTAAATTTTCTTATAATCTACGCTTTTATAGGCTTAAGGCCTATCTAGGCTTTAATTTTTATCTTAATATACTTTATTAGGTTAATTTTCTTATTACTAATAAGTATATTTATAGGTATATTTTTAATAATATAGGTATACTATTTACTTAATTTCTCTATAGTGTCTATACCTATTTAGGATATAATATTACCTGCTATATTTAGGAGGGTATTCTTTATAGTAGTGCTAGTAGGTCTAACTACCTATTTACTTCTAACTTATTTTATATATAGAATATTAGTAGTTATAATTCTATATACTTTTATAAGCTTATCCTAGATAGTATATAGTTCCTAGCTTTATGTAAAGGACTGGCCTTCTAGCTAGATAAAGATATAGTAGTTAGTACTTATATTATTTTTACGTATTAGGGGCTTAATTATAGTTATATCTTATTTCTAGGGATTATTAGTTATCCTATTTATTTATTATTTAAGGATTTTTATATAGTTAGTAATATCCCTTTTTATTAGCTTTAGTGCTATAGCTGCCTTATCCTATAACTTTATCTAGTAAGTAATTAGGCCTTATATTAAAGTATTAGTATACTATTTAGCGTAGTTTTCTATACTCTTATAGGTATTCCTAATACTATTAATAGCCTTATAAAAGGCTATAAAAATATCTAGTTTAGTTTCTATTTTAGTATATTGATAGTATAGTTATAGCCTATAAGGTAGATTTTATTATTAGTAGTTATATTAATATTATTATTCCTTCCTATAGTATTTATATATTTAAAGATATTACTATTAGGTAGGCTTAAGGCTCTTATAGTAGGCCTATTAGGTTTACTTACAGTAACTTAAAGTATAGTAACTTTATTTTATTACTTACTGTATAGGGTAATAAGAGCTATATTATAGTTATTATATTAGGGGATTATTATATTTAAGAGAAGATACTCCTATTCTGTAAGCTAGGCATTTTAAGCAATAGATTGCAGATTGTAAGGTATTTGCTATCTAAGGTTAAAAAGGCTGCCTACTAATATGCCTACTACAGGCAGGGATATCGTAAGGGCGTCTAGATAGTTAGTTTGGTTCTGTATTTTAGTGTTGCTAATAGCTTCCTTGGTAAAAGGTGCTAAGAAAGTGGTATGTAGGAGGAAGTTGGTTACAGACATGGCGCATGCCTGAACTACCTCATTAGGTTAGTCTATGTAGCACCTACAAACTCCCTGTCTGTATTGGCAGCCATGGTTCCTTGATGTATAGAAATTATATTATAATATCACCTAAAAGTGGCGCAATCCATGTGAATATTGAAACCATCAGGATTTGGCTGAGCTGAAAGCTTTCCTTTGGGGGTGACAAGTGTTAATCACGGATGTAGGTTTCTCACTTCCCCCGTGAAGTTTTGTATTGCATCAATGCTACGGTTCGTGAGTAGCTATACATTTTCCCGATAGTTACCTTGCTGCCATCTTCTCTTCTCATTATACGTCAGGGCTGTCGTAATTGCGAGTTCTGGCTTTCTGCACGGTCGCATGCGCGCGGCAGCTGGGGTCAGCAGGAGCCCCAAAAGGTGAAGACGCTCGGTGATAACAACGAACGACTTGAGAGAAACATTCCGCGCGGCATTGCTTTGTTAGTGGCGAAGGCCCAACTACTCTTGGCCTAATGGTTGCATAAGACTCCAGCTTAAGCAGTATCAAAACAACAAATTGCACCGAGGTAAAGGAGGCGAATCATATGACTAATGTTCCATTACTAGAGCCAACGACGGCGTTCATAATTGATACAACTACTGGTTTTACTACTATTCTTATACCTCTCCTTCTTTTCTACGTGTCCTTTTCACCAAGCGGTTTAAGCACACTTCTCAGCTGTTTTGTAACAACTACATCGACAGCAGTTCTAAGATCTTTTTCCTCCTTATGAGACGAATCAGCGCTCGAGTCCACTCTAAATTTTTGATGAACGACAGGAACTTATGAGCTCGCACCACCAGGTATCAGCATCACAGTAGGCTTTGTGTAGACACTCAGCATGGAAATGATAGATTACAGGTTTTTATCCCCGAAGACCTGGAGCAGTCTTGCATAGGTAGCTCGAGCGAGATCCTTGCCCCGACGGAGTTGAAGCGTCAGCTTAATGAACAAGGACGATGCAAGCTCAATGGCTTATATTTTATCAACAGGTGTCCACACAGATGAGTCTTGGTTTCCGTTCCATCTTTATGCTGGCACTTGACCATTGTATCATCGTAAAGTTCACATAGGGCTCGAGTAAGACGGCTTAGACTATTAATCATGGATTGATATTTATATGCATTTTGAAGTCAATCTATCTCGTGAAAGCTGGATACCGCGTCATCAGATGGAGATTCGGAATTGCAACACAGCCCGAAGTGATCGACGGCGAAATTCAAAGACCTCATGCATAAGTGATGCTGCCAAGGAGTGGCTTGAGGCGCAGTGGTAACGGCGGTCACACCTGGGCACAATCGCGTTTAGTGCGCTGCAGTTTTGGCCTATAGATTTGCTTCAAATCTGTATCTGGATTTGTAATCCTGAAGAATGCCCTGTAGTGGCTCAAACACGTAGTCGAATATCATTGGTAGCCTTATTCTATACTTTGTACTTGTAAGCCGCTTCACAAATGCCTCTGGTGGATTTTCTCTTCTCCTCTTATTCTTCTACAATTTAGCAACCATGGCAGAGCTGGCACTGGCTATTATTCCTCTGGGAATAACAGTTACATCTGGTCTCGTCAAATATCTGAAAGCCTTCAACGATCACGATGACGACCGTACTCGGCTTGTGCGCCAGGCTGAGCGCTTTTCAAGCACTTTTCAATCCCTTGAAGCCGTTTTGAAACGCTCTCGATCGAATCCAGAACTTTCTCTGTCGGTATCAGAGGCTTCTGGCTGTCTTGGAGAATGCCAAAAGGCATTACAAGAACTGGACACTCTTCAACATAAGATCTTTGCCACCGCTGCCAACGCTGCACCGACGACTCACCACGCGCATACAAAGGCAAAGATCAAAGATGGATATAAGAAGCTTATATATCCGCTACTAAAGTCCGACATCGGAGTTCTAGGAGAAGCTCTGAATGGGCTTTCAACAACGCTGGATCTAGTTTTAGGGATACTTCACCTGTAAGACACCTACATCTCTCTCTATTGCTACAGCTGATAAACCTTAGTGACGAACAATCTTTGACAAGAGAGATTCTGAATCAGCAAATGGCCGATATTCAGAGAAATACAATCATCAACTCCAATACCTCGACCGCTATCGAAGAACTGCGCCAGCCTATTTCGCAAATAGATTTGGCCCTCCCAGTTCTCCAGACTTCCCTGGATTCCGTTATTCCCCATTTTAACGATAGGTTTGACCAGATCTCCTACCAGATTTCTTACCAGCATGCCCAGATGCAAGCTCAAATCCAGGCACTTCTCGATACGTCCGAACCTGCCAGATATCAGGATCTTCCGGCCACAAGCCCAAAGCGTTTATACGATCGCTCTGAAGGACAGAACAACTATTTTTCGGCCTTTGAGATAGATCAGGAAACTTCTGCGTTTGCCAAAAGAGCTGATTCTGTATCTGTGTGTTCTTGCCTGTCACGACGCATGCGTCAGCGCAAGAGGTTTGCTCTAGGCTCCATTTATTTCGTTGAAGAGGTGTTATTCAATCACTGTCACGAGAAAGACTGTGTCTTCTTCTTAATGCCATCAGGCTACGAAAAGACACAAACCATCCGATTTACGGGCCTTGCTTCTCTGCTCAAAAGGGGGCTCGAAGTGTCTTGCACTACTCGTGGCCGAGCAGGGTGGCTCAGTATTAGCCCTTCTTTTACTTACTTTCCAGTGGTTGAAGCGAAGGTTGCGCCCGCGTTTTTGGTCCTGTCTCTTCTTGGTCGCGTAAGCGAGCTCTCGAACATCAATGAGATAAAATCAAGAATCCTTCTGAGCACGGGGCAGCGAAAGCTCCAGGAGCTGTTTTGCTCGGGAAGAGCAAGTCCAAATGACGTAACCCAGGATAATCATACCCTACTTCATTCCCTAATTTCCTCAGTAAGATCAAAGATGTCAAAGCATAACGGACAGTTCCATTAACTTGTCTAGCTAGGATTATGGTTACAAACTTTGCAAGGAGCAAATTCGTCATTCGTGCGCTTGACGTGTGAAGGCTTGCTCAGTTTTCTTGTTGCCGCGGGTACATCTGTCACGGTTCGCAGCCGTTTCGGAGAGTACGGACCCCAAATTCCACTCATAGTAAGCTCAAGATAATGATTTTCAGGGCGGCAATACATCGCGTGGCCCCTGGGACCTTTGTTCCCGCCTCTATCTACCGCCAACTGAACGCTGAGTATGAAACATCAGCTCCCAGCTATACGTACCTTTCATATCTGCATGATAGGCGTGGACTCTTTGATTATCACTATCTCAACCAGAGCGTGGCAAGTAGTAAGTCCTACCATTTTGTTCAACACTCTTCTGCTCCCTTCTTATGCTCTTAAAAGGCTTACTGTATGGGCCAGTTCACTACGGTCCTCTAGGCTTAGCAATTATCCGAAACAATTTACAAGAAGTCGAGCGAATCATCTCCTTGCATCCGAATATTCTAAAGGAGGTAAGCTACTATAAGGAAACGCCGTTACATATAGCCATTTACAGGCTAGATATCTTGAAAGTGCTGGCGAAACAAGCGAATCCTGAAGATTGGATTCAATGCAGCCTCGATGGCGTGACTGTTCTTAGTCTTGCAATGCAACTCAGCCGCGAGATTTGTAACTCGGGGGAGATTTCAGATGAATCATCTTGTATGTGCACATTACCGCTTCGGATCATTTTAGCCGCTGGATGCCCCATCATCCCTTACCGCGATTTTCGTCGTTTGAAGGGTTCATTTTCCCCAGAAGAATACTTCTTCAAAGCTTTCCCTCACTGCAAAATACTTCTGTCAAAGGAGCTGCGATGTCGCCGTCGCCAGCTTCGTGACCTGGCCAAAAACAATTTGTCAATCACCGAGTTCAGCAACTTTACAACTCTGGAGGAAGTGCCCGACACTGAAGCTATCGACATGGATAGGTTGCTTCGTCAAAAAGGGATCCTTAGTCTGGGACTCCTCTCGACTTTCGTTGATTTGCCTCAGCAGCATGTCAGGTTCTATTCTAGGTCCATATTCCTCGACCTCACAAGCCCTGGAGATGCAGATCTCTTCATTGACTCCGGCTTCAAGATAATCGACTTTGATCAAGATCATGACTCTTCATTGGATAGAGCGCTTTTGGCCAGAGTTTTCCCAAAAATGCGTTTCATTTCACTAGATTACGCAATATGGCTTTTCGAACATCATGCCCCTTTATGGAAATGGAGCTACAGGTTCACGAGTCCGATGCCCTCCGCTTTCGTTCTTGCCGACATTCTCGGTATACAAGACTACAAATATCTTATCCAAGATAAAACAAGTGAAAAGGCAGAAAAGTATCTGGGCGAATCGGTTTTAGTCGATAACTGCACTTGTTTATGTTCACCTGATGGCTGTACCCCTTTTGCCTTAAGAATGAAGTGGCTGGCAAATCCCCATCACAAGACTCAAGACCATACACCTCAGGATATTGCAAAGGATTTCGGTTGTTATGTAGAGACATATGGCAAAGACCTGGATATTGACCAACACGTCATCATGGTGCAACAAGCAACATTTGCTGCACTAGAACTAAGACATACGTGTTTGGACAGGCCTGCGTATAATGATTGGCCGAGCAGACCTGAGTGGATTTACTGGCTGGACTCGGTGACAGAACTAGAGCCAGATGAGATGGAGTTTGAGTTTCTTAATGTAGACGTGGAGGCAAGGAATCAGTTGGAGGAGGTAGTTGTCATGTTTCAAGACTTTGTGCTAACTGGAGACCAAACGACCATTTCAGCCAAGGCTGACAGTTCAGTATCTAATGAGTTGAGTGTCGTTGGCATAGCCGACCTCTACTACCGGCGGGTTTTGGAATTCTGGCAGCACATCTGGGCAAATAGGATCCAGGATGCTCTGGATGCTGTAGCCAAAGGATGGGACGACAGGTTTGACGGAATGAATGATCTTGTGCGAATTTCGACTTGCGAGGAGACAGTACAAGAAGCAAGAGACAGCCTCGAGGAGGGTGATGATGATGAGATTTTCAACAGGATTATACAACAGATGCAGGATATATAGAGAGTTTCACTGCGAGGAATAAATTAGGTACTTGAGGTCATCATCATTCTCATGCAGGCTAGGGCAGTTATCCATGAAGGCTATTCAAAGACGGCCTAAATTAATCCAGGCTAACACTTGCCTGTTACATTTTCAAGTCAGAACAGCGCTAGGTCGCTTGTGAAAAAGTCGAGTTCGGTGATGTCATCAGAGCTAGAAACATGCAGTTAAGCTAGGACTTTGAGTTCTTTGCTTGTGCTAGGACTTGGCTCCACACTATTTATACGGTGCCGTCGATCCGCATAGCTGGCTGTGCCGATATCAGTCAACTGTCGCTATCAGATTGCTCAGTTTCTGGACTATAATTACCCCATAACACAACGCTACACGCAAATTCGAACCTGAACCCAACATTTTCTCAGCACAGCACATTGCCCACTACCACTATGCCGCCCGAACAGACGGATCCTCTGGCCGGACTTGATTCCATCGACTGGTCTCAGCTCAGCCATGCCTACGGCCTGGCTGATGACGTACCAAGTCTTCTAAAGGATCTTCAATCAACGGATCCCGAAGCCCACAAGGCAGCATTTAATAAATGTTGGTCCAACATCTATCACCAAGGCTCACGCTACAGTGCTTCAGTTGAGGCAGTTCCATTCCTGTATGCTTTAATTGATACCCCAGGAACCAAGGATCGCGAAAGCCTGTTGTACTTGATGACAAGTCTGGCAATCGGTCATCCGGACTGGGTGGTACCTAATGGCATCGATATCCAAAACTGGGAAAAGAGCATCGCGGAGATAGAGAAGCCTGAATACCGTGATCAAGCGACGCAAGGGTTCAGGACCTACGAGGCGGTCGAGCGGGGACTATCTTCGATCATACACTGCTTGGATGAGGACTCAGCAAGCATGCGAGCCAATGCAGCTCATGCTTTGGCATTCTTCCCACGTCAATCGACCACATCTAGAGTAGCGCTCCTCAACCGCCTGCGCGAAGAGACGAACAATAATGTTAGCGCAACGATTATACTATCGCTTGCTGTCTTGTTCGCTCGGAGAGACGATGATACAGAGAAGCGGGATCTTTTCCAGAATATCCAGGAGTATCACTCGGCTTCACCTGTTCGAAAAGCATCTGACGATATCATCGAATGGTCTTTCGCTGTTGCGCTCTTTATTCTAGGTTCAAGGGAAGATGGATTGGCTTAAACGGTGCAGCGTGTATGCGTGGACAAAGCGTACGTGGACAAGTTGGAGTCAACCCTGGATCAAGATGTTTGGTTTCCCTTTGCCTCACTTAATTTACGTAATCTGGCCAAGTCAGTGCTAGAGAACTAGGAAAAACATTTTTAATTGACTTATTATATTCCCTATTAGTGCTACCATTCATTCACAAGAACTCCTATAAGCTTGCGATCCCCCAACATGACGCTTCCAAACAAGGTTCAGTTGTTCAATATTGCGGGTCGTTGTGTAGCCTCATCTGAATACACTTGCTGCCATCCAAGTTGGTGACCCTTTTACTTGTACCTGTTGATCTGCTCCTCTGTCCACTCCCAGTACTTCTTGCCAAGGTCAGCATCAAGAAGATCTTTGCGGCACGGTTCGACCTTTCCAAAAGGAGACACTATCCAGGCCATATGGTTAGCCATATGAAATTCTTGAGCAGGGTCCCAAGGGACTGCTATGGAATGAAAAGACTTACCCCAACAACCGTTTTCCTTCTCTGTGATGGTGGCAGAATGGCTCGCAAACAGTTGAGTATAGGCTCCGTTCTTCGGTGCATGAGCGATGAGTTTCTACAACGCCATTATCAGTCTATATATTTAACATATGCAAGCTGTTAACTTACGAAGATAGCAAGCTGCATCCTCGGCATGTTCTGCTGTAGGTTGGTCACAAAGTTGCCAGGGTTTAGAGCCTGAAGACAAGAGTTAGTTCCATGCATCTAGCAAAAAGAAGGATATCGAATGACGAACAATGCTGATGATGTCTTCGCCGGCAGTCCTTCGAGCAAACTCAAAAGAGTGCAAGACATTTCCAGCCTTGCTTCTCAGATACGTCGACCAGATTCCTTCTTCATTATGGTAGTCCATGTTCGTGAAGTCGATGGCGGGTGTTGGAGCACTATCAGCAGCACTAGAAGACACCCAAATGACACGAACAGAGTCCTTGGGGGCAATCTGGGCCGTATCAGCAAGAATAGGATGGAGGAAGTGAGTGAACAAGAACGGCGCTAGGTTATTCACGCCAATCTGTAACTCGTAGCCTTGTACCGTCTTTGATCCCTGTGGAGGGACCATAACACCAGCGTTGTTGTAGAGTACATCAAGGCGGCTCTCCTGTGCGAGGAACTCTTGAGCAGAGGCCTTTATGGTAGTGAGATCGTCGAGGACTAGTGGCAAGAAGACCATACTGCCCGTTGAGTTTAGATGAGCTGCCTTGATATCTCTCATGACCTCATCGGTCTTTGATCGAGAGCGAGCGGGCATGTAGATCTTTCCATTTTTCTGGTACAGAATTGAAGCTAGCTCCTTGCCCAACCCTCCAGAAGCTCCAGTTACAACAAAGACCTAATTTGTATTCGTATCAACCACCTTACCATTGCATGTGGGGAAGATTGGGTTACCTTGCCAGCCTGGTCAGGAAGGTTCTTCTCTGTCAGGGTCGGCTTGTTGGGAATAATAGTACTTCTGCGGACACTCATGGTGGATAATGTCGGCGGTAGATATTACCGATGATCTTGCAATTCTTTGATCAGGACGAAGGGTATTGGCAGGGAAGGTATAGCCCTTGGTGGGATGTGTGAAAGATTCGGTGGATGATGTTCTGGGACTGAGAGGGCGCATTCAGCTATATATAAGCGCTTAGCTCTGTTATCTATAGCTTGAAATGAAATAATTCGATGTCTGAGGCATCATTGTAACCATAACTGAACCAATGCGACAAGATGTGGCCGCACTGGGGCGAGTCACGTCTGACGCTGAACGCCACTTGAGGTGATGCGGGTTCTGCGGCCGCACTCCGCACTCCGCTCCACCACATTTCACTGGGACCGATTCTATGAAGATAACGATGCGCTCTCTTTTTCTCATTAGAACGGAGTTATTTGTTGGAAATAGCGTTACCTGGTTCATTTGGAACGCGATTAGACTACTCTATTGCTACGTCGTTCTAGCTTCTACCCTCGCTGTGACATCGTGAACCGTCAGCATCTCGCGATACGTGCTACCGAGCCTCCATCTCGAGCTTATAGTATCGAGAAAAAAATCAAAGTCAGCAGCAGCTGTGCGGTAGACCTCATTCTCGCCCTCGCCAAGAAGCCAGTGAAATGTCGCTGCGCTAGCATAGATGGAATCCAAGATGAAAGGGCTTACTTCGGACATCAAGAATATTCCTTCGGTTCTGAATGAGCGTAGCAGCTCCGTACCCACAGTATGTATTTGTTCGCTGGCCTGTTCTATGATACACATGGATTGCCTCTGAAGCTCAATCTCATTCAGTGTCTTGTCCCCGGGAATCTCTATATACCCAGGCTCGGCACTGATATTTTCCGGGCAAGTGAAACGTTCAAGGGCGACAAAGAGCGCTGAGCGAAAGATAAATCGAGGAGCTAGAAGGGCAAGACTTTTCTCGGGACTGAGAGCCGCACTTTCATTATCCACGACTGTCGCAAAATCTGACAACTCGCCAGCGAGAGACATGATTTCTTCAATACGAGAACTTGTCATGGTTGAGTTATCCTGAGCGTAGCTTATGGCGCGTCCGAGATACATCGACGCTTGGCATAGCCTTGCGTATGGTTCTTGTTGGGTGTGATATGATATTGAGGTTGAGTGATTGATGGCTATGTTCACTTGGCCGCGGTCCTTGACCTGTGTCAGTTTCTATGCTATAAACAGTCCCAAGGTTCTATTCACTTACCCATACATCATCATCGACTGGGAGTTTACACTGGGGATGGAATTCTGGAAGTAAGCAACGCTTTCTACTTCCCAGTGACACGAGCTTGTCTAGGATATAGATACTCCACCATACCCTCCTCCTCTCTTCGGCTTCTGTCCATGTTGTCTGAAGACTTGTTAGCTTCATCCTCCTCTCTCTTTGTTAACAAGGCCAAGAAATCCTGAGCTCGTCATTCCCATCAAGAGTACGTACCACTTGACCCAATGGAGAGTATTCACCAGGCATAATGCCCAGGATATCAGCGTATCGGGCGCACGACCCAACAGTCATCCAAGCTGCCGGATATATCGCATGGGAATATTCATATAAAGCTACGAGGATCATAGCCTGAAGGCAGAGCAGCGAGACAACACCATTGCTCTCCAGACTAGCAACGAAGCTTTTTGCTGTATCATATAAGGCTGATCCGGTTATATCGATAGCAGGAGTGGTTACAAGCTTCATCCCAAGGAACAGTATGGCGAGATCGGGGCCTGCATTCTGCACCGGCAGACCCATATCCATCCTCTTCTTAGATATCATCGGAAACCAAATATGAATCGTCGCAAAGTATGTCTGTGATACATCTAGGACGACGTTACCTTGGCTGAGAAGCGCGAGGACGGGCTGCTTAGTATTAGAGCACTGACAAAACGGAAAGGCCAACGAATGGTTAAAGTGACGATGGACATTACGAGAGGTAGCATACCGCAGGAATGTTGCCGGTTGGGACTGGCAGTATGGCATGAGACCATACACAGCAGTCAACATCGAGAAACATAGATGTCGGAAAACGCGTCTCCAATGCTGAACCGGGATGATCGACAGTAGAGTACGCAGGCGTGAATCCGATAGATTGAGACGATGAAAAGATGCCATTCGACTCGATGCTGTGCGTATCGATGGAGTTGCGTAATGTCGCGCCTGGCGTCGATCCCTGCTCCAACACCGCCCCCGAAGATGGACCTGAAATTGGGCTCAAAACGTGCTGCTCAGTAGCTCTCGGAGAATTGGCCAATCTATTCTCAAGCTCACTGAGACGCGCTTTCATCGTACTCCAATCACTAGCACTTGGCTGGGAATCAGCGGCAACGCCATACTCGCACAGGCGCTGAGTCCGCTTGCATAGGCTACACTCTGGAAGAGCCTTATCACAACGTCGCTTCTGCTTTTTACAGGCTTTGCAAGCTTGGTCGCTGCGGGTTGTCATGTTTTGTGTGTGCAAGCCTCGCTTTTTCTGGTGGATTACTATCAACTTGAAACAGCCTTTCAAGAGCCTGTACTTGGAGTTTTGCGGTGGCAAGACGAAGAAAGCTCTCCGGCAAGGCTAAGTCATTGTTGTTAACATTATCACATCATCTGTTTCACAATACGTGGCAAGTCTCGATGTTGGGGATTGCAGAATGTTTAGCTGGGAGCATGTACCAGATGTTATCCCCATGTTGAATCCAGTTGATTGTTCATTCTTGAAAGAGTTGGCCCCCTCAGATAGGCAAGTCATAAAGCTCTGCAGTGACAAAGGTATCACAGATATAACACAAACCTGTAATAGCTCCTGGTCAATCGGGCACGATGAGCGTTAAGGGCCTGACCCCGATCTTCAACAAGGCATTATCTCCTGGAGGCCCCCATGGACTCATAATACGTACATACACCCCCTCGACTTCTTTATTATCGCACACATTCAAGAGAAAGAAGTCAATTCCATTAATAAGTTTTACTCTAAGGATAAAGAAAGGGACAAGGCTCCATTGACTCCTCACAGCTACCGTCCCGAACACTTGAAGGGTCGGCAGCGGTTAAATGAACTTAGGCCAATCGACATCATCCTGCCTCAGGGTGTATCTTTGTCCTTGCTAGAAAATCAGATCTCTTAGGCTGGATTATCAACGCATATTAGCTTTAACTACTGGGAAGGCACCGTCTTGTTAAATATTCGTATCTAAGATCCTGACAAGAAGGAAGATCATCTGCTCTCTCACCGCATCAGTGTGGTCACTGTGGTGGTGCCATACGGACCTCCAGGCTGACCCTTATATCGAAGGTATGCTTTCGATGGTGGTAAGTATTCGCTAAAACCCGGGTGTGGTTGTAAAGGGTCTATTAGATGCCTAGGCGGCATTCTATATAGAGTAGATAGTGGTATATCAGTAATTGAGAATGTAATTTGCATTTATAAAGAACATAACGATATCCTTCTCAAAATATTGAGCCTAGATACCATAACACAATAATATCTTGTGACTTTAAGCTTATCATCTCTCATATTGTCACAGCAGCCAATTATAAATATGGTATCTACTATACTGTTACGCAGGATGGTACTGAGAAGTTCGAGGCCAAACTAGCAGGTATACTCAACCTGTCCCACTCGAATAAGACAGATCCACAATATGGTATCAAACTGTCTGATGCTATGATGGCACATACATCAGCACATCTTCTCGCTCAGAGTAGACCCTGCTATATGGGTCCCAGGACTCGGTGTTACGGTGTGATGCCGTGGCTGGCGTCTTACGTCTGATAGGCAGCGTCGATACCTTTGGAAATGCTTTCCACTATCAAAACACCATACTTGAGGAATCTCAAGGCGGTGATTATTGTCATGCGACAGGTCATACATGGAACATTTTCAATCCAAGGAAGGTCAATCACTTTTGGCAAGCCAACATGCTACATGATTATTAACAACCAGTGCCCGTCACTTTTAGTTAGGCCAGGTAGTATTCTTACAGAACGTGTTGCAATTTCTCATCACAGTCTCTGGGTTGTTCCCTACAGTGACGATAAATTCTTTCCTGATGGGAGATTTACGCCTAAGTCTACTGGGGGAGCGAGAACCCAAATACCGTGACAGTTGAAGAATGGGTTGGCCGAGAAGGACGTATTGTGAACACGGATATTGTGTGCTACATTTAATTTAATTTGAGGACATGCACTTCCTGCCTCCGGAAGATTTCCCTATCATGCCGGTAGAAGATGTTGGTGTTACGCTGCGGGCAAACTATGTCTTTTGCCGAAACTCAGCTTCGTGAGCTTGTGAATCACGAACTTGATCTACGACGATTTACCCACATTCACAGCGTCATTAGAGAACTAAAGAATATAAATTTTAAATATTAGCTTACAAATGGTGTCATGCATGTGACGTCCCCGAACCCTGCTAATTTTGCTGGTAACTTGAAGGCATCAACAGAGAGTTATGGCTAGCCTATAGTTCACAATCATTACTAAAATTTGAATAGAGCATCCCATCCACATGTTTATGCAATCTCATTGCTTCTCCTTTTCCCCATAAATAGGAATGATAATATCGCTATCACAGCAGACAGGACTGCAAATCCAGCACTCATACCGCCATATCCAAAACAGCCCCTCAAAGTGCCCCCCAGTAACGGCCCAATCGTAAGTCCAGAGAAGTAGAAAAGTGAGTTGAAGCCGTAAAGTTGAGCATAGGAACCATGCTCTCCAAAGAACGGGGGGTTGGCTGCCTCATAGTTCTTTAAGACATCACTTGCTTCCACAAAGCTAGGAAGACTGATGATAGACAGCCCAACCCCATTCAGCACCAAAAGGGAAGTGTATAATATAACTTTAACGTGTTCGCTGACAAAGTGTTGGGAGGGTAGGCCTAAAAGGACGAGACAGGGTACCATGAAGGCATAGCCAGCCGTTGATACAACCCGTGTGCCATGCTTGTCCACTATCTGCCCAAAAAGCCACCCAAATAGTGTACAAGGGGTAATAAGTGCTATGTAAAACAAACCAACTTGAAGAGATGAAAAATGGAATAGGCTGTTCACCTCAGTAGATGTAGTGGCGTCAAACATGCTGATGATCATTGCTTGAGTTAGTGACGTTAACATGGCCGTGAAAAACCTAGGATTTCGAAAACAGTAAAGAACGGGTACACTTTGTATCAAATACCCAACGTCATCTGGTACTCGATACGTGGCCTCGTTGTCTTTTGGGAGGAGTGGGTGGTATTCTCGTGAACGTGCCGTAGGCTCTACTTGTCCCTCAGGGGAAGCACGCTCATTCGAAGTCTGGTCAATATCATCGCCAAGGCATTGACCGTCAGCTTTATTTTCAATAATAAGGAGTCGCATAACAAGGTCAATGGTTGTAACCCCCATCGCAACTCCAAAAACTGCCATAATACCGGAAGCGTGGTATAAAATGCCTCCAAGGACAGGAGATATGAGCTGAGCAATCGTGCTGAATGAATAAATCTGGTTTGTTAGCACTCTGTCTGCAATATCCGGATTTGTTCGATACATACCGTCCCAAGCACTTGGCCCATCCTTCCTTTGCCAACTGTCTCGAGAATTATAGCAAATCCAACCGACCAGACCATCGCGGCAGACATACCCTGGAATATTCTTGCCACGACCAAAATGAAGATAGACTGCCCAAATACGAATAGCACAGTCGATATGAGTAGAAATAATAACCCGGCGAGGTACGGCAGCCGCCGAGATTTTACATTGTCTGCTAGCCATCCAGCAGGGATGGAAAACAACACAGCAGACGCTGAATATGTCGCTAGGAGTTTTGAGGTGTACGATTGCATTTCGGAATCGGGCAATTGAAAGCGATCTCGTAGCATGAAGGGTAGAATGGGCACTACAATACCGTAAACGAAGAGGTTCGTGAAGAGCCCAACTGCTATAGTACTGATAATGAAGTTTGGGCTTGATCGGAGACAATACCCGAAAGAGAAATTTTGGGTTGTCATTGTAGAGACAAGCTATATTATATCTTGCGTAGGACCCCAGTAAGTAAAAAAAGGCTTTATTGTTATAGACGGGTAGGAAATATTATTTAGAAATTGTAAGGGAAAAATGTAAAGTGATTACAGCTTAAATACTGTTTTATAGTTACTCACTATAAGAAAAGGAGTTATTAACAAATACCAGACATAACCGATTACAATAGCGATTATATAATCGGGGTTAAAGTCCGGGCAACAACTAACTACTGCTAGTCGAACATCGTAGAGGTTACTAGGCAAGACAGTGACATCAAGAGCTCTTCACCGCCATTTACGTTTAATACAATACATGATAGGCTCTCATATACATATACAGCAAGCTTTATGTTACATGACGTCAAGAGAATGCCAATACAGAAGTGTCCAGACGTTCGAAACAGCGACCCTACCTCCTAAAATTAGCCTAGTAACCTCCTCGACTTCAGGCGACTTGGATGTGAGAGTTCCACCTGATTCGGTATCCCTTTAACACTCCTAAGACTACGGCAGCCATCTTTTCAGGGATTAAATCTAATTAATATTAGTATATTTCTTATTTAATTATCTATATATATATAGAAATTAGAAGCTAAAGTAGTAAATTATTTATTAGTATTTTATTAATATATTAAAGTTAACTTTACTTAACTTAAAGTAAATTTTATATTTTTAGTATAGTTAGCTATTTTTTTTCTTTTTTTTTTTCTTTCTATTAGCCTTATAAGGCTATTAAGCTTTTAACTTCTATTTAAAGGCTTAAACAGTAAGGCCTCTATAGCAGGCTAGTATCTTAAAACTTAATATTAGTAAAGGTTTATTTGCCTTAGTAGCGCAATTATTGCCTCAATTAAGCAGTATAAATGCCACTTACCCCTTGGCAGCTGTGTCAGGTCCCTTCCTTTATCCTACCTAAAAGACTAAGACAATACCGCAGCTGGTGCATCTATTACAAAGTACGTTCCCCGACCTGACTTTCCCTCTGTTGGTTACAGTTGCTGACATTAATTATAGATAGTTAGCTATATGTATAAAATTGTAATTTTAGTACAATAAAGGGTTAAGCCTTGCTAGTTAATAATTATAGTAGTTTAGAGATAAAGATAACTATTAAAAGCATTAGTAGCTTAAAAAGACTATTTTTATAGGTATAAGTAATAAATCTAACTATTACTTATATTAGCTATAAATAAAGTTTAATTAGCTATATATTACTTACTTTATATAGTTATACGGAGTTTAGCATTACTATATTAACTTTACTAAGTAGCTATAAAGGTCTTAAAAGGTAATTAATTAAAATATTAAATATCTTTAACTTATAGCTAAGATATAATAGTTAGGTCTAACTGTATTTATTAAGACCTAACTTTATATAAAGGTCCTATTATATAACTAAGACATATATTATAATCTAGATAACTAATTAAGGCTTTTAACTAATATACTTACTTAAGTAA